GGACGCGGAGCCTTGGGAGAGGGAGGGGGGAGGAGGGGGGGAGCAGGGAGGGGGCGGACAGCGCGTGGACAAAACAACGCAAGCTATCCCAAACGTGTCAGCCACAAGCCGCCATGTTGAACTAGACGTCCTCCGATCTCTGCAACATTCAACGTTGACTTGCGGTTGTTTGTCCTTCCAGACCTGTGGTGTCGTACCGAGGCGAGGCCAACATTTAATTGCAGGAGTTGGGTATTGCGCGTCGTGGGGGGTCGCATTCGAGGCGCAGCCACATGTGGTCACACGTATCTTGCCTTATTTCGTCTTCCACCAAGGGGGAGGAAAGATGGGGCCGGTCGGGCACAGCCTGGAGGCGGATGGCGATGCTGGTTGGTCCATCCGCCGCGCGCCCCACGCCCAGCGGTCGTGATCCTCCTCCCGTCCTGCAAGGGGCCCGCGCGTCCCCATCTCGCAGGGTCACACCTGGCTGAAGGCCTTGGGCGAAAATGAACAAGACTGACCAACATCCAAGGATCGTCGATGTAGATCTTCCTGGATCAAATAAACACCAGAAAAAATTGCCACCTCGCTATTAGACTAACAAAGATGATCAATCTCCCTTCCTTTACACCAATCTATGTAGAGGGGGGGCACCGTCAGTCCGAGCGAGACAGCGAGCACTTGGAACCGCCAGCGGGGCCCTGCCGTGGTGCCTCCGTGCCGTCGCTGCGGCTCGGCTTGCTGCCAGTATCGCACAGTTGGCCGTCGAGAGAGGGCGAGGAGGAAGGCAGGGCGGGGGGGCGGACGCGGAGGCAAGCTGAGCGGAGGGAGAGCACGACTGGCTGGCAGCGGCGGTGAAAGGAAACGCCGTCGCAGGGTCATCTCATCTTTGCCAGCCACGCCTTGGAACCTGCCTCCTTCTACTTCGTCGCTGCGGCCGAATATGCTGAATTCGTATTCCTGGTCGCCAGAGCCGGCTCCTCATCGTCCTCGCCGCCGACTCCTGTGCCACCCAGACCGCCGGGACCAGCTGCGTGGTTCGGAGCAGGGCTACATCGCCCAAGCGTGCAAGGTCCCCGACAACCAGAACGGCGTCAAAGTCCAGGGGGCCATGGTCGGAAGCAGCGAAGAGGTCAACCATCATTTCCAGAGCACGTGCAATAAGGTCGTCGCCCAAAGGGTCGCGATCGGGGGCCTGGAGCAGTCCCAGTGCGAGCTCGTGTTCCACCGCCGCTGCTTCGACGTATCCAAGGTCGGTTACATTCTCCGGTGCAACGGGGAATTGGTTAACGACGAGTCCCTGGCTGCATTCGACGTTTCGCTTCGGCACGGTACGGAGGACGCCCTTCACGGCAAGCTCTTGGACGAGGGATGGATTCAGGCCACTCTCTCTGTGGACGCTGGTGGACTCGGGCTCCAGGAGGCGTCCGAGTGCGCGCTGCCCGCGTTCATTGCCAGCCGGGTCGCCTCGCGGCCGCTCGTCGCAGCCATGTGTTTTCACGTGGAGGAGGAGGGGTTGGGGTCTGCCGCTAGGTGCATGCGGGAGTACGATAGGCGCACGCACGCGGCGGCGCAGAGGTGGCGGGACGTCCTCCCTGCCGGCGTCCACGACGCCGCGCGCATCCACCTCGAAGAGGCAGCCGCGCTGGCAGAGCGCCGCTGGCGGAGCTGGTGCTGGCGGAGCTGGTGCGCCGGCGAGGAGGAGGAGGAGCCGGGAGCTGGCTGGCGCGCCGCCAGCCACAGGCCCGGCGCTGCGGCCGTGGCCGAGGCGGGCGCGGAGGACCCTGAGCACCCGGCCGCCCCTCGGGGCCGCGGCGCGCCGCGCGTCCAGCGCGACCTCACCAGAGCGGCGGACCGCACAGTGGCCACTGGACTCCTATCCCGAGCGCGAGCGAGCGGGGACACCGATGCTGCGGACCGCCTCCAGGAACTCTGCCACCCGAACCAATGCCATGATTGGCTGTGGGCCATATCCCCGCACAAGGGACGGATTATGACCAGCGACGAGTTCGCCTTCGCCGTCCGCGTCCGCCTCGGCGTGGGCAGCCCCGATGACCCAGAGCATCCTCTGAGCCCGGGGATGCTTAGCCTTAAGCATCCCCGGGCCCGATGCTTAAGCTTTAACATCCGGCATACGCCAAACGCACAACCATTCACCGCATCGAAAATCATCTTTCCAAGCAGAAATGTACGCGCAATCGTATACTTTACGGGCCGAAGATGTACCATATGATCGAAAACCAGTCATGAGCATACACCCATGCGGTATAGTTTACACACATGTAATGTGCATTCTATACATATATATGTTTATATATGTATGTATATATATACATATACATATAGGTTCGCACGTGCGTTCCATCGTTCGGACGTTCTTCTTGTGCGTGCATGCTGCGCTGCTCCTTTCCTTTGCTGCGGCTGTCGTTCGCGTGGGCTCGTCCATCAGTTTATGGCAGGCTGCTCTGGGTCCGCGGCCTGTGGGGGTGCCCGAATTTCCTTCCCCCCCCTCGCCCTCGCCCTCCCCCCGTTTCCTTTCCACCCTTTCCCTGTCTCGGCGGCCCCTCTGCTCCGTCTTCATTATCCCTTCTCCGCTCCTCCCCCTCCACCCCCGCCGTTCCCCCCCTTCACCTTGCCCCTCCTTCTTCTCGCTATTCTCACTTAGTCGTTCCAAGCATTACTGGCCATTGCCTTCATTGTTCCTTCCCTGCTCTTTCCCCCCTTCCACATCCCTGCCCCCTTTTCCTCCTCCTCCTCCTCCTCCTCCTCTCGTTAGCCGTTCTGGCCGATTGGGAGGCGTCTGCAGCTCCTCCGCGGCTCCTGCTCCTCCTCCTCCTCCTCCTCCTCTCGTTAGCCGTTCTGGCCGATTGAGAGGCGTCTGCGCCTTCGTCCGCCCCCAGTTTTTTCCCCAGCCGCGCGCCTTCGACCCCCCCCCCCCCCTCGGGGGCAACGTCAGAGGGGGATGGGCCCTGGGGGGGAAGCGTCGACCCCCAGTCGAGGATGCGTCGCCGAAATGGGCCTCTATATAGCCCAAGCCTGCGCAGGAGCGTGCTGTGTTGATATCGGGGGGCTATCGCAGATCTATCAGCGACATCGCCGATTCCAGGTCGATGCTCCCCCCCTGAGCTGATTACACTCTGCCGTGGCCCCCCATCCCCGCCCCCACAAGGGAGGAGAGGAAAACGAGAGGAGGGGGAGTGATTGGGAGGAAAGGAGGGGGAGGAGGTGGAGGAGGAGGAGGAGGCGGATAAATAGGAGGAAGAGGAGGACGAGGAGGAGAAGGAGGAGGAGGAGGAGGGAGGGGAAAGAGTGGGCCTCAAAGGCGAAACGCATGGGGCTTGGGGGGGGGTCGAAAGCGGGGCGGCGCGATTTCGAAGGGGCTCGATGTCCTTTGTCAACGACATCCTAGATGGCCTCTGCTACATGCCAGAGGAACGCCGCACGGCGGCCGAACGAACAAAGGTGAGACCATGAAAAGGGGGAAGGGGGGAATAATGGTTGGGAGATGGAGGGAGGGACTCGAAACACCGCAAAGGGTCCTCTTGGAGCCATCGTGGGCCGTCTTGCACGCTCTTACCATTCGGGTCCCTGCCTCCCTCCCAGGCCCGGGGTCCAGGGTAGAGGAATGTGGCGGTGAGGCAAGGGGAGGAGGATGGGATAGTGACCGCGAAGGTGCTTTTTTCTCTGCTGAAGGCCTGGCAGCTCGATGGCACCACGAAGGTCCAGGCCAAAGATTGCGAATACCACTTTGCTGTGCTCAAGGCTATCATGAATAACTTGAAAGGGAAGCAGGCTGAACGGTGAGAGGCCTCCTATAGATGTGTGTCCGGGTAGATGGGGTCGAAGGATCGCGCCGCATCGCCGATGCATCGCCGATGTATCGGCGATGCATCGGCGATGCATCGTCGACGTCGGCGATGCATTGGCGACGTCGACCCGAAGCAAATCGGGCTCCACATCGAGCCACGTCGACGATGCATCGGCGATGCAGCGCGATTCTCCGACCCCATCTATTCCGACCCCATCTAGGAGGCCTAGAGGATGGAAATGAGAAAGATGCGGATGGATGGATGGAGGGAGGGAGGGAGTGAGAGGGCGGATGGAAGGAGGGAAGGAGAAACGAGGCTAGGAGGAAAGCGGAGGGCGGGCGAAAGGGGATGGGAGGTCAGAAGGAGGGGATAGGCAAACGGACGGGAGGGAATGGGTACAGAGGGGGAAGGAGGGGGAGGGGTACGAATCCAATGGCAGACCCAGGCTACAGTTGATGAGTATGCAAGCGCCGTCCACATCTATAACATGAGAATGGAAACGCCGTTCGACACAGGCACGCCCCAGCAGAAGGCTGGGTACCAAGAGAATGTGACGATCCAATGGGCCATTGCTGAGGGACAGGCCCTCCCGGGCCTTCGCGGCTCCAACATATGATGCGTTCCAAAAAAAACTTGCCTTCGAAGATCGAAGGAGTTGCCATCTCTTCCTCTGCGGAAGGCGACGGAAGGTCGGCGGAAGTAAAACGAGGCCGCCTCTGCGGGCGGAAGCCGGCGGAAGGCTGGCGGAAAGCGGCGGAAGTAAAAGATGCGTCCCCAAAAAATTGAAACGTGTTTGGGTTCAGGGTTTCCGAAGTCCCCCATATGGCTCCAGCCATTTCGCCTCCCCTCCTCCACCTCCCCCTCCACCTCCCCCCCTCTCCTCCACCTCCACCTCCCTTTTTCCACCTCCTCTCCTACGACTCGCCTCCCTTTCCTGCAGCCCCCCCCCCTCCACCACCACCCTCCCTCCCTCAACCTCTCGGCATTCCGTCGCTCGAAACGGTTCGACCCGCCCCCCGGAAGTCGTTCAAGTTTGACCAGGGCCCCCTGGGCCCAAAGGGGCCCCATCCAAACTAAATCCTCAATGTGGGTATTATCAAGCCCCCAAGGTGCTACATGACATGATAAGCTACCTGCACCGCCTCTCGCGCCACTCGACGGAGTCGAGGAGCCCCACCATCGCCGAGCTCAAGTCGCTCTGCCCAGAACCAGGAGCGCCGCAGACGCGGCGGCGCTCCACCGACAGTCAGGCTACCCAATCCGAGCCTACTACTCTACTCAACTCAATCGCGCGCTGGTTGACGGCGCGCCGAAGGGGGTGGGGGAACGGGGGGAGCTACGCCAAAGGGGGGGGGCTTTTAAGATGCCTTGACAGGGCTTCTCAAAAGCAAGCCCGCCCCCGTACCCCCACCCCCTTCGGTGCGCCGCCGACCTTGACCACTGACCCCTTCTCTCTGCCCGTAGGAGGTCCACGAGGACGCCCAGCGCTGTGGCCACATGGGACGAGGTGTCTCAGGAGAAGAAGACACACAGATCTTTCAGGACAACCTCCTCCTCCTCCTTCTCCTCCTCCTCCTCTTCCTCCTCCCCCGCCTCTTCCTCCACTCCTTCCTCCTCCCCCTCCTCCTTCTCGTCGTCCTCGTCCTCCCCTTCTCGTCGTCCTCCTCCTCATCCCTTCTCATTCCCATTGTTGATCAGTCTGCTTGATAATGCGCACTCTTACCTCTCCCTCCTACTCTGACTGATCATCCTCTTCGTCCTCTCCCTCTCCCTCTCCCTCTCATCCTGGCCTCGGTTGGTGCCCCCCACCACTCCCCCTATGCTCGCGAGCACTCTGGCTTCCACATCCTCCTTTTCCTGCTGTTAATGCTCCTCCTCCTGATCCTCTTTCTCCTCAATCCCCTTCCCCCTCGTGTTTCTGCCGTTCATGCGCATTCCTCCTTGTCCTCACCCCTACCCCCTCCTCGCCTCAGGACGAGCAGAACACAGGCGCTGTGATCAGTGATGATGATGATGATGATGAGCCAGACCCAGAACAGAAAGCTGGTGTTGGTCTGAAATGGTGTCGGACGGAGTTTCTCGAGGGCGTCCCGGCGCCCCATTAAAAGGAGGGGGGGGAGGAGGAGGAGGAGGAGGAGGAGGAGTGGGAGAAGGAAAAGGAGGAGAAAAAGGAGGAGGCTTCAGGGGGCCCAATAAGCGCGATAGATGGGCAGGAGAACGGGCGGAGGAAAGGAGGGCGAGGGGAGAAGCGGAGGAGGAGGATGAGGAAGGAGAGGATGGAGGACTAGAAGGAAGAGGAGGAGGAGGAGGAGGAAAAGGAGGAGGTACATGAAGAGGGAAATGAGGAGGAATAGAAAGAGATAGGAAGAACAGCCGCGTGCATAATTCACGGGCGCTCCTGGGGCGATACACATAGTAGAGGAGTAGCAAGGTATATGGAGGGAGGTCTGGATGTTGTCGGGGGAGGGACTGGAAGTTGAAAAGGAGGGAGGGGAAAGGAGGCGAGGAATTCCCGACTGGCATCTCTCGTAGGTACTGCAGCACGTGAAGGCCCTGATCTACGAGAGTCACCCTGAGGTGGATAAGGACTGTGGGCTGGGCAAAACATCCATCCCCTTTCCCTCCTGAGCCTCCCGCCCTCGTCTTCTTCGTTCCTCCCTGCCCCCTCCTCTTGTCTCCTATTCCTCCTGCTTCCTGGTCGTCTCCCTTCTCCCTTCCCACCAATTTCATGATCCTCCTCCTTCCCCCGTTCGACGGGTCGAGCTCGACGATGAGGGGCGCAGAAACGAAGCGACTCGAGGGGATGGAGGTGCGGCGTGGTCCCTTCGAAAGGCCCTACCCCCCTGCTTCTGCAACTGCGACTCTGACCTCCCTTCCACATCTCCTCCTTCTTATTTATGTTCCCCACCATCTTGTGGCGTTGGGTCGTCGTTTTGAAGAGACAGCGCCCCGCGCGCCCTCCGTCCCCCCCCCTCCTCCGATCATCACCATCATCACCATCATCACCATCATCACCATCATCACCATCATCATCATCATCATCATCATCATCATCACCATCATCATCATCATCATCATCTCATCATCATGTCATCATCATCACCAGCATCACCAACGGCAGCAGCAGCATCACCATCAGCAGCATCATCATCAGCATCATCATTACCATCACCATTAGCATCACCATCGTCATCATAATCACAATCCCCACCTTCATTATCACCATCATCACCATCACCATCGCCACGGTCACCATCACCATAACCGTCGTCATCATCATCATCATCATCATCATCATCATCATCATCACCATCAGCATCATATATCTCCAGGTCTCCTGCGCGCAGCCCCCGCACCGCTACGCCGACAAGCGCTGGCAACGCCGAAACCATGGACAGATCTTCTGCCCTGGGGCTGCGCGCAGGAGATCTGCCCATGGCTTCTGCCTGATCTTCGCTCGTCGGCGTAGCGGTTTGGCGGCTGCGCGCAGGAGATCTGCCCATGGTTTCTGCGTTGTCAGCGCTTGTCCTTGGGATTAGGTAAATGTGGCGGGAAGCGATCACCCCCCCCCACCCCAAAAAAATTCAAAAAAACAACAGCATCATCATAACCGTCATCATCATCAGCAGCAACATCAGCCTCATCAGCATCAGCATCAGCATCATCAGCATCAGCATCATCATCGTCATCATCATCATCATCATCATCATCATCACCAAATCAGCAACAACATCATCAGTATGATCATTGTCACCATCATCATCATGTATCGTCATCGCCATCGTCATCATCATCAGCAACATGGCCGCAAACATCATCGCCACCAACATCGACATCATCATTGCCGTCATCATCAACATGTTCGCCACTCATGTCGGCGCACCTCTTACCTTGTCCGTGGCCCGCTAGGGAGCGCCACCCAAGGCCGCAGTGGCAGGGTTCGCATGGCGGCCCCGCCCCAGCAATTCGGCACACGTTTCGTGAACCCATAGAGAGCTCCACCGAAGGCCCAAGTGGCAGGGTTTGCATGGTGGCCCCGCCCCATTTCGGCACACCCCACACACGTTTCGTGGCCCCATAGGGAGCTCCACCAAAAGGCTCCAGTGGCAGGGCTCACATGGCGGCCCCGCCCCAGTTCGGCACACCCCTCACACGTCTCATGGCCCCATGGGGAGCTCCATCGAAGGCCCAAGTGCCAGCGCTCGCATGCGCCCATCGCACCCATTCTGGCACACCCCTCACGCGTTTCGTGGACCCATAGAGAGCTCCACAAAAGGCCCCGCCCCAGTGGCAGGGTTCGCATGGCGGCCCCGCCCCAGTTCAGCACACTCCTCACACGTCTCATGGTCCCATCGGGAGCTCCACCGAAGGCCCAAGTGCCAGCGTTCGCATGCGCCCACGCGTTTCGTGGGCCCACAGGGAACTCCACCGATCGAACGTGGTGCACACAACGACGGTGCCCACAACTACACATGGCCGTGAGGAGCACGCGCTGAAGCTAGCGCAGAGCCTCACTGACGGCAACGGGGCTCTCGACACCAAGGTTGTGGACGATAGCTTGCGTGGAACAGTCGCGGAGGTGGACTCAGACTCGGACAACGGCGACGCAGCGCCTGAGCCAGGAGATATCCCCGCTCCGCGTCCGGTGCCGACTGCAGCGCAGCTGCTAGAGCGAGCTCGGGCGAAGCCCGCTGTGACGAACCTGGGGGAGAAGCCCAAGAAGCCCGAGGGCGGTGGCGAGCCCAAGAAGGTCGAGGGCGGTGGCAAGCCCAAGAAGGCCCAGGGCGAGAACGATGAAGCGGGCACGTGGAACACTGCAGAGCCTCAGACATCGACGGGCTGGCTGACCACGAAGAAACGGCCCGCGACGAGCTCAGCAGACGAGCCGGCGACGAGCAAAGCCAAGGCACCATCCGATGACGAGACCAAGCTGGCTGAGGCGAGCGAGGCTGCGGCTGCAGCGGCAGCGCCTCCACCTCCGATCCTCCAGGCAAAGGCCAAGGAGAAGTCGGCGGCGCCCAAGGGCATAGGTGGTCGGGTCTTGCAGGACCCGCAGGAGTGGGCCGCGCGGCACAAGCACGTGCTGGAGCTGATCCCGAAGGATGCGCATCCACCCCCGCATCCACACGGCGAACACAGCTATAGCGTGAACATCACGCTGGGGAAGTGGAACCAGATGGCACTGAGATCCAACGTGTACCCGCCTATACAGTGGAGGCGTTAGTAGTCCCAGGAGGCGCCGGACCCTGGAGGATTCCTTATCTAATGAGGGCGGCGGTGATATCCGTGGCCGATCCACGACTGGAGTTTCACTGGCTTCGAGACCCTGGATTCCTTCTTAAATGTGCCTAATCCTGTAACCCGCGCCCCCTCTTTGCATTATACTTTGAGCAGGGGGGGCAGAGGGAAAGAGGTGCAGGGGTAGATATATAGGATCTCCCAAAAGGCCCGCATCGAAGTTCATGTGCGAGCTCGCGCTTTCAGGGTGGTGAAGCCCGTCATGACGAAGGAAGAGGG